TCACAATTGTATACCACTTTGTGTTGGTCTTTCACATTAAATTCCAGTGAAATATATTTATGTTTGTGGTTGTAATGTGACAAAATATGGAAAAGTTSAAGGGGTATGAATACTTTTGCAAACCACTGTAGCTAAGCATAAAAACAACAACAGTGACAGCAGGATAGATTGGGGTTTTTCCACGCAACGATGGGTCAGAAATTTGAAGAGAGGCTCATGTTTTGGGTGAGGAGTTAGAGAAGGAAAACTTGTATATTTTGCTGTTAACTGCGGAGATGGAAAGAAGATATCACTGTTGGTAATACGTTCTATTTTGCTAATTTAACTGGCTTCTGGGACCATTTTTAGACATGCAGGAGGAGCTGCTCTGCATAAACACCCACAAAATCCTGACCAATCAGACAATACAAACCGCATAGGTCTGTAGGCCAGAGTTCTGACTGGGCCCATGTACAAGACATTGTGTCAGCGGGAGATATCAGACGAAATTACGCTATTTCTGTCATGCAAGACATGAGAATAGAAGTACAAATCAGCCATAAATGGTGGCTTTCAGTATTTCTCTTTGGAGCAGATATGAGTTGGTCTACAGTCTGCTCCTGATGGGCATGGCAATTTCCAAATCTGATTCGTTTCCATTAGTCCTCGCACCTTTCCACACGCACGACAATGATGTCTCCTCCACGTCAGGGTGAACTCACTGGTGCAGATCATACACATGGTGGTCCGCAGGTCAGGGATCCAAATGGGGGCTTTGGATCCCAGAGGAGCACCGTCATTGATGTTAACCATTTGTACCTTAAAGCAAGAAAACAGAAAGGTGCTCATACCATTAACTTTGAAATATCCTTATACAAACACACACACATAAAACTCAAAAAGTCTTGGAAAAAATGTTTTACCTCATTTGGACTGACAGCTATAAAGCTAATTTTCTTCTTGGTGTATTCCATGATCGCTGTGGAAATGGTTTCAAGCCACTCGTCTCGCTCTGTGGATGAACTGCAGGAGAAAAGCAGCAACAAACACGTCACGTCCTTCTGAAGTGAGTTAATGTGATAAAAACTAGACTTTTTATTTAAAATACCTCGCAGAGAGAATGAAAGAGCGCTCCACGCTCTCGATGTTCAGCTCATTCTGATAAGCCTCTAGACTTGGTTTGCTAACCTGCAATTATTTTCATTATAAACATGGATGCTTGATAGAAAATAATGAGCACGGCTCTGTGAAAAGCACAAGGAAGTAAAAGAACGTCTCACCCTCATCCCAGACAGTGACAACATGTTCTTAAGCTTGAACTGTCCTGACTGTACAGGAATGGCGTAAAGCAACGCATCATTAAACTAAAAGACAAAAAAATAAATAAGGAAGCATAGTTATATATGAATACAATCAAAAGGAGAAGAAAGAAAAAAAAACACCAAATTCTGATAAAGCAAACTGAACTTGGCCTAAAGGTTACATCTCATTGGACCGTGACCATATTCCACTATTTGTTGATGCAAAATGGGTCAAATTTCAGATGCAGTCTCACTGAACTCTGAGTGGTTTCAAACAGGCGACCACCGAGCTGAGTGGCCACGTCACAAAGTCAATTTGTATTTTTGTTTGTATGTTAATGATGTATTTTTATGTGTTTGGCTTGCAAAACTGCTTTGGCTGTGTACACTGTTTTGTTGCCCACCTCTGCCCAGTTCAGAATCAGAATACTTCATTGATCCCAGAGGAAAACTACAGTTATTACAGCTGCAACTGGTCAAGTAAAACTGTTAGAGAATAAAAGATAAACACACTAGAACAAAAATAAAGCAGAAACACTCAAAATAAACACACTTATTAAAAAATATAAACTATAAAATAAATCAAATAGACCAAAAATATTAAAAGTATGGTTAGACCATAGACTTAAATAAGATCACTAGACTGAGCCCCGCTCATCCCGTCCACTGGTAGCGTCTGTGACAGAATGGAGGAGCAGAAACAGACCAAACAGGCCAACAGCTCACTGCCTCCATAGAAACTAATAGATAAACAGCAGCTGAACTGGATCTGTTTCACAGATTATCAGTCTTGTTTTTACAATAAATTAATAATTATGTTAATTTCATTCAACAATCATGTAAAACAGCAAATTTAAATACAGTATATAATTTATAAATAACAATGATCTAAACCAGACCTGAAGTCAGCCTGTAACTTAGACTTTAGCTAGTTGAAAAATGATTACTTCAGCTAGTAATAAAGTATATTTATTATTTCTTCTCACTGTCATAAAAAATAATATTTATATATACCAGTCAACAGTTAGAAAATGTTCTCTGGTTATAGGATGAAACTTGTCTCTATTAGCTAACATCTTCTCAACAAGTCAGGTTCCACTGACAGAAACCTAAAAATACTCACATTTATAATAATATTTTACACTCTGTAGGTCTAAATATTAATCAGAGGACAAATCAGCTGTAATATTTAATAGTTTGTGTTAAATTGTAGCATGACTCAACAGTGCTAAACTCTGTATATTTGCTCCACAAGCTAACATCTGTTAACCAGTTCAATAAATAAGTGATTACATCAACTTTATAAGATTGTTTTAATTTTAAACTGTTACATTATGTTCTGCTCAGATCACATTGAGCTAAATAAGATCAAATCTGCTGAGTTGTGTTGTGAAATGAGACGTTTTCCTGTTTATCTTCTGTTAATAAATCCATAACACAGACAGCTTTTCTGACATTATTTAAAACAGATAGATTATATAAACTGTAAAATATTAATAATAATTGGATTAATTTTATTATTAATAGTTTTAATGATTTCTACATCGTTAGTCCTTTTTCCTGCTCTGTTGTCAACATGTACAGTAATGGGAAATCCAGACTCTTGATCGTTTTGTGTTAGCTTCACCAGCCAATAACACCGTCGCACTCCAGCTGCTCTATATAAACTCCTTGGGTTAGAAGAAAAAGGTCCCATAAAGATGTTATAAGATGATACAAGAAGAGATTAGGTTTAGGGATATTTCACTTTTGAGTAAAGTATTCTAGATAAAGTAAAAAGCACAGATGGAATAATGTGACAGATGACCTGAGATTTTCACATGTTTAGGGATGAGTTATAGTCAGGGTTGCACATAAAATTTTTGGTCTGGTTCTCAGGGGAGAACCTGGGGTTGTTGTTTGGTGCTCATATTTTCCTTAACTCATTTAACACATTTATCTAGAGAGGTGTCAGAGCATTTATTATCGCCCTGTTCTGTTTTATGACGCCTTATATCAGCTGGCAATGTCTTGGGACATCATGCCAAATCAGAGTTTTTTATTTGATTTTAATTTTTTTACTCTGCATACATTTTATAAACTACCCAAGTGGCCAATGGGCTGACCCACGGACATATGTCGTCTCAAATTGAACATTTCATGTTTAAATTTCTGTTAGATTACACATGACCCTGAGATGTACAGCTCCTGTAGTTTGGCCTTCTAGATCTTTAGCCTTGTTTAAACCAACTTTCCACACTCTCCAGACCAAGCAGCAAGTATCTGTCTTTTGCACAGAACTAATTTTTTATTTATTAGACTGATTTCTTTTTTAAAAGACTATTTTATTCAAAAATATTATATGTAGATGGTTTCAGCTCATTTAATCATTTAAAATTATTTATTCTTTGTATTTTATCATTTATTGAATTACATTAATCCCAGATGATTCTAAATATGACCATGTTTAGCACATCAAGAACATTGTTCTCATCATAAAATTGTAAAAAAATGAAATTTGTGGATCTTTCTGATAAATTAATATAACTCATTCACAGAATATGGCACGTTTTTATTTTTATTCATTATTTGGAAAGGGGGGTGACGTTAAACAGACTCATCTTTGCTTTGATATGGGGCAAATAAATGTTCTTCTGTTAGAGGTAATATGGTTTAGAGGAACTTGGAACACAGAAAGACTCACAGCGCGTTCCCGTCTCTCAGGAAGACAGAGTTTCACTGACACAAAGTTGGACAGATCTGTTCGATAACAATGCTCTGAACATATATTTAATATAAAGTTAGGTTTTAAAGACCAAAGTCTCTGGTAGTTCAGGAGCAAAGTGCAGGAGGAGATGTCAGGACTGATTGCTGCAGTTGCTGCTTCCACTGTCTGCTGAAAACTGCTCTCACTGAAAGTCCCGCCCTGCTCTGCTCTGATTGGATAAAACAGCTCTGGAGTTCGCCTGATTCGTTGAAAGCAACCTGTTAACATCCACCGGAACGCCCACATTCCGTTTGACACATTTGTTCTTTTTTATGGTATTTTAGGTCTGAATGTTACATCAGTGTTTCCCAAAGTTGGGGTTGGGACCCAAAGTGGGGTCCCGAAACATCAAGGTGGGGCCCTGAAAAGTTTTTCTGAATTAATTACATTTTTGCCTTAGTTGTTACAAAGGAGTGAGGTTAGTGTATTTAAAATGATAAATGTGGTATGAAAAATATTGTTACTATGCCCATGTTTAGTTGACCTGATACAAATATTTATCATCAAAAATAGTTGAAGGCACAGGTCTCTGCTACTGTTATTTTGTGGGTCAAAAGCTGAAAATTTTGGGAACCACTGCACTTTGGTTCCCAAAGTTGGGCTTGGGACCCAATTATGGGTCAYGRAGCACCTTGGATAATCTCCAGAAATCAATTTAAAGGGTAATAAAATAATTGCTGATGTAATATTTTCCCTACAGTTATTACAAAAACACAAAATAAGTAAAAATAAGTATTTATTTGTGTACAAGCTGTTTAGATTGTCAAAAAGCCTGTGTTTTTAGGGTTATTAACAAAGTTTGTGTACTCAGACCAGTAATATTTGGGGTCACAAGTTTTTGCCATGGATATTTTGTGGGTCAGAAGATAAAAAGTTTGGGAACCACTGTGTTTCATCAGGGCCCCACTGCCCTCCTCTGACAGAACACCGATCCAGTCACACCAGTGAGGCTGGATTTTTTTGTTTTGTTTGTTTGTTTGTTTTTAAGAAATCAGGTCACATTTGCGACCCTGCTAGCTGTTGTTTTCACAATCTCGGGTACAATCTTAGGTACACATGGGAGCATTATGACATTCCATCTGGTGCGCATTTTCTTTCTTGATCGCGCATGCGCATGCTGTGCACCGCTTATGTGTAACACTGATTATAGAGGTTGATGACAGCTGGTAAGAACCTTTGGGGCTCATTGGTGCATTTTGGTGGAATGAATGCTGCACTGTGTTGTAGAGACGATGGTAACCATCCACTGAAAAAATGGACAGAACTGAGATCTGGACATTCAGGGCTGTAGCCACAGTAGTTTTTTGTCCCAGGAGAGCTGCCATACAGCTGACAAAGTACAGCAATAGAATTTATAGAGAATAAATTCAGAACATTGAGACATTTTTGTCTGCAATCTACAGACTAGTTTTGAACAGTTGCAGCCCACCTGGCCTAACTATTCAACATGACTGAAGGTGGTATCTCACTGAGCTGCAGAGACAGCTGGTATAATTGGGATAACGGGGGTAAGCCCTCCCTCGTTTTTAAATAAAAATAATAATAAATACCTAAAAAACACAAATTAAAATATTGTAGAGCTGATATCAGCAGTGTGGAGGCCTTCAGAGTTCAGTGAGACTGCAACAGTAAACTCGTGTATTTTCTCTCAGTTCTATTTTGAATCACTGACTAGTCTCCAGCAGTAATTTCAGGCTTTATGACAAATTCAGAGACTAGAAAACCTTTAAGTTTTGAACTGACCACAGTTTAAGCTCTTGAGTTTTAATAAAAATGTGCGCAGAATGTTCAACAGTATTTGGACTGAGTGCAGCTGGATAATACAGATTATGAAGAGAATATTATTATGTAATCACCCAATTTCCATGGCAATGTGTGTTCATATGTGATGCAAGAATTAATTTTTTTTTTTACCAAAACTTTGGCATATCTTTTTAGGAATGCCAATTTCATTATCCACGCATTCCAAAAGCAAGTAATAAAAAGAGAAGAAAGTGACTGTCGAGTACTGTACCAAGAAGAACATCCTGGGCTGCATGACCTTCCTGGACCTCTTCGTTAGGAAGCCCTCTTTGAGGAAGATCTGGAGCACAAAAACAAAAGCTGTTTATTACAAGCAGAAAATTTCAGAAGGTTTCAATACATGAAAAGATTTAGATGCTTTGATTCTTGAACAATAACAATAACAAACTTTTTAAACGGTTAACATGTCTGTTGGGATATACAGCAAGTCTCCTTTTAGATTAAATCTAAAATTAAATCTTTGTAGCCGTACCCGTCCAGGCTGGACTATCTCATGGTTGCCAGTCAAAGAACACTGCACCTGCATCAGTTTCTGGAAGTTATCCTGAGAGGAAAAAAGAAAAAAAATAAGAAATCAGCAATACATATCAACATTTTATCCAAAAGAAATAGTCTTAAAAGTTTTTAATTTTGCTCTCACCCCGTGTTTTATGATGTCATTGGCATGATTAGCCACCTCTTTAACTAAAGCAAGGGCAGCTGAATGGATTCACAAATGAGTTTTAATTCATTCTGTTTTAATCACACTGAAGCAGTGTGGTACAACTTAAAAACAACAGCTGAGTTACCTTTGGTGTCTTTGTAGTCGTTCGAGTCTTCAGACAAATTCTTTAAGTAGTCTGAAACGAAACATTTCAGATTTCGATCAATCAAAAACAGAAATCTTTGTTTTTCTAGTAAATTCCAGGAGTGATTAGGAAATAAAATCCTGGATAAAAAAAGGTTCTAACAAAATGTAAACATACAACAGTAACGTGGGAAACATTGCTCACATTTAGGTACTGTAGGACAATTCATTCAGTACACAAAACACTAAGTGTGTTCATATTAAAGCTTCTGTTATGTCACCAAATCAGGTTTGGGCAACACTTTACATCTTATTATGAGGATTCAGGAGGCAGGTCAACAACTCAAAGCTGTTTCTGGCAGAATGATGAAGTCTAAAAGTTTTGTCAGACAAACACTGTTTAGAAGTCTGTAACAAGATCTAAAATAACACGACTTTTGACTTAGGTAAAGATTAATATGAAATGAAAATACCATGAAAATATTATACACTTGCATTTCAAAAATTAGATTATAGTGAAAAAGATTCATTCCAGAGTGAAATATTTCAAGCCTTTATTTCTTGTCATTTGGATGATTACGGGCAGAGGTAAAAAGTAGCAAAGTAAAAATACTCAAGAAGAAACTTTGGTCATCTATACTTGAGTACTTATTTTTCAGCTGATGTTTTATTTCTACTTCTTACATTAAAAAAACTGTAAGAAGTAGAAAGTTATTAATCCATTTCATTTCAGCTTGTTTTCATTCTGACTTATCATTGCTGAAAAAATAAACTAAACTATCCTATGCTATATAGTTTACTTTTAAAATTTAAGTACCCGTACATTTTGTATGTAAAATGTACTTTTGATACGTAAGTACAATAAATACCAGATATTCTAGGACTTTTACTCAAGTAATATTCTTAAAGAGGATTAACTTTTATGTAATTTTTTCCCTTTTTTTCCACTTCAGTAGAAAAAAAGAACTTAAGTTTAGTTTCTTAATTTCTTCATCATCAGTGATTTATTTATTTATTTTTTGTTAGTTATATAAAGAGGAAAAGAGAGAGGAATAATAACTTACCGGTATGTAATTTTTACATAAAAGTTTTTATATAAAACTTAAAGTAATTTTACAGCAAGGTACTTGTACTTTTACTCAAGTATCACTTTGAAGTACTTTATACAAGACTGATTATGGTTTAAAACTTATAAAAAAAACTAAATTTTGCGTCTCAGAAAATTTAAACATTACATGGCATCTTTGACGATGAGGGCAGGAGCTAAGTCCTGCTTGAAAAAGAAGTCAGCGTCAACAGAAAGAAGCATGAAAAATAAAGGCTTGAAACATTTCATTATGTATAATGAATATATGTGAAATATGAGTTTCATTCTCTGAACTGACTCAAAAAAAACTTTCACAATGTTTAAATTTTTTTGAGCTGCACCTAGAGGTACCTGTGAGGAGCAGCTGATACTGAGGAATTCTCTGAACCGGCTTCAGTAGGTAATGTTTCAGAGCCAAGTTGGCGCAGCGTGGACTCGCCTAAAAAACACAAAATATGACAAAAGGTTAAATTTTAGTAGCTAACATACAGCCTAGTGCTGCCATTTAAAACAATGAAACATAAACACGCCTCTTTACAAAGAGAAAACCCGTGAGGCAGCATTACCTCAAATTCTTTGACTACCGCTCCAAACGCAGCGTTCTTCTTGCTCTGATCTTCCAGCAGAGCCACATTCTTGTCAAACTCACGAATGTAGGTGGAGTACATCTTTAAAAAGGGCCCGTTCTTCAGGAAAATGTCAGCAACCTGGGAATGCTCATCCCTGTGCAGAAAATAACGAGGCGCAAAAGCCGAGCTGCATGAAGTTTTGAACTTTATGCTAAAATTTCCAGAATTAAAGTTAAAAAAGGGGTTGGAACTGATGCTCAGATATTAAAAGTCCAATTAAAAAAGGGCAAACTCAGAAAGGTTATACAACTAGTGACATAGAGAACCGACTGTACATCTAAACGTGAAAAGCTAAATCTTAAATGTTATGGCTAAATGTTGAAATTCAAGTATCTTGTTAGGATGCCATCATCCTGAGACAAAAGCCACCGCTAACGTTGCTAATGTTTTTGTTAAAAATGCACTTAAAAAATAAAATAAAAATTATACCATTGAGCCACTCTCTGCTCCAGCTCTTTGAACAGGTTTTGGTTGAGCACATAAAGCTGTGGCAGGTAGTACAAGATCTGGTTGAGAAGATGATCCTCAATCACCGGCTTTCCACTCTGAACAGAAGCCTTGTTCACAGATTCTCGGAAATCCTGCAGGTCAAAACAAAATATAAAAATAACATCAAGTGTCGGAAATGATACACACACACACACACACACACACACACACACACACACACNCACACACACACACACACACACACACACACACACACACACACACACACACGCAATTATAAGCTAAAGTATGTCAAACCCTGCAGTTAATTATTGTGGTTTTCTTCAGGTTGGAAAAATACTAGCACAGGTTTGACAACTGTAGCATAGCATGGAACAAAACCTATTATTATTTAGGACTAAAGATATCTGAGTAGACAAGATGAAGAAAGAGGAACTTTTTTGCCCCATGACCAACACATGCAGCTGACTCGCATTAAACAATCTTAAATTCCCCAAAAATTGTGAATCAGGACTAAGACAGGAACACGTGAAGCCTGAGGGCACAGTTTAGGTGTCTGATTCTGATGATGTGGAGTTTTTATTGGTGGTTTATGGGGGGGGATACGTGGCAAATAAAGCAACTCGCAGACAATAAAGAGCTCCTGTGGTCAACATCTGTGAACATTTCCTGCCACAATAGCTGGCAAGTTTTGTGGAAAACAACGTGGCAGAAGATTTTTACAAATATATTTGTTTTGCGAGATAAAAAAAAAAGGATGATGCAGACATGACTGTTGGCAGGGAGTAAATTGTTTTTGCAGAATCTGATGAACGCGCAGTGTTCGAGACTGACAAAAGGGCTGAAGAATTCAGTTTTGTTGACTTCCTTATGTTTGCTTTTCACTAAAGTAAAAGTAGTCTGTAGTTTACACTGTGGAAACCTCACACCCAACGTATACAGAACAAAGTTTATTAAAGTGTCTGAACTAAAAAAATTAAATAAATATGTATCATAAGTATATCTGCTTGTGTAAACCTTGGTGCTCATCTGCAGAAAAGAAACTAGTATAAAATCACTGACGTTGCTCAGAGCTATGAAAATAATTGTTCATTATTTCAGACTCTTCCTACACATTCTGCAGGGACTCAAACACTTGCTGTTCGTTCTCCACAGAGACGAGTCACCACCCATGACTCAACCTTTATGTGCTCCAATTTCCTGACCTCTTTCTCTCAAAACATCTGCTTGTTTGACAGAACTCAATTTTGTTTTTTGTAGAATTAAAACTCGAACATGCATACATATATAAATGAAACTCCTGTTCAGATTAACAAAGCAGACGTGACTGGTGATTTATATGTTTGTTTTTAGTGCTTGTTCCTCTCTGTGCTTGCAGTCATCAGCTGCAGATAATGCAGTGTCAAAGTCATGGCAGGGGTTTACAACTGTGCTTCATGAAAACGGGTAAATCCTATACAACTATTGCTAAATCACCATCAAAAAATATAAAGGGCTAAATGCATTTTTTTCAAATACTGGATCTTTATAGAGTTGGCACATTATAAAGCAAATATAATGGCCTTTTTATACATTTATCATTTTAGTTTCTCCATTAACTGTAAGTTTCACAATTTACATTTTGACACCATTACAATGAGTGAGTTACAACACTAAAGCTAGCATTAAGTTGAAAAACATGAGCTTGCATGAAGGTTAACTGCTGTCTAAGAGCACACAGTTATTAAAGTGTTCAAAGCTTTTGGCCTGATTTATTAAAGGTTAGTATGTATAAAACACATGCAAACTCGATAGCGTGTGCAAAGGTGATGTACTAACTGTGCGCCAAGGATTGCATCTGTTTAATGACAAAAATAGATGCAATCTATTTAAAGTGTTAGCCTTCAGAATATATGATAATTATCAGAAGGAGTAAAACACTGGAAGGAGGATGTACAAATGTAATTATTTAGAACCTGCTATTTGATTTATCCAACCTGAAAGTAGTTGTCAGTTTGTCAGAAATAAAAATAGTAGAGACATCCAACAATGTCATTTTTGGGCTGATGGAGAAACTAAGAGCATTTTTAGTCAGTCTCAGATGGAAGCCATGTCATCTCTCCTTTGGAAAAAGTCCCGGAAACACTGTTTTCTTGCATCTGGATCATTTGTCTCCTCTACCCAGACCACTAACTCCATGAGTTAACTTCATTTTTCTTTTACAGACACTCTGCTTTTCTTATTTATTTTTTTACTTGTACTTTTATACGAATGTAATGTTTTTGTGATGTTTTAAATTTATTTTACCTTTTTCTTGCTTTTATTGTGAAGCACTTTGTGATTTTACATCAATGAAAGGTGCTATATAAATAAACTTTGCTTACTTAATTACCAAACTTTCCTTGGTGACACCTGCAAAATCCTTACCTCAACAGGGTGGTCCTCACCACTTTTGCACCTGTTATAATTTTATCATTGCTGGGCCGGAAGATCACATGCAACATACAGTACCCACTAATAATACATGCAGTGTTTTAGTTTGCACATGCAAGTTAGCACTCATTATTTGGAATCTTAATAGAGCAGGTGCAAAGTTTTTGTTTTGCCTTACCCTGGATTTATACTACATGCGTCTCCACTGCGGTGCGCAGGTCGCACCTGTGTGTTTCAAGTCCAGTTTACACTACCTCCGCTCCAGTCCGGTCCGACAGACGTGTAGGAAGGAGATTGTGCGATAAATTCAGTGATAAATGTGGAAGTCATAGCAAAAAATAATTAATTCTGTGAAAGACGAACTCCAAACACAGCTGAAAACGATATAAAGGCTTTTGGTTTCTATGTTGAAACTTTATCGCTGTCGTCTTTCTAAAACTTCTGATTTCAAAATAAAATCCACGTGTATCGTGTGTCCACACATACAGTATGCTTCATGCTACATGTTTCCATCTGCTTCCCAAACAGAACGATACATTCTGACAGTATTTGTGTAGAAATTTATCCATCTATTTGTTGATATAGCCGCAATTTCGACATTTTTCCAACAAATTATCCCGCCTAAAAGTGCCTTATTTTAAAAATACGGATGTTATGCTCGTTTCTTTTCCTGCTGGTGCGACGTAATCTTTAAAAATTGACTCCGGCGCTGCTCCGGCATCCGGCAAAAATAGGATCTGTTCTAATTTTGACGGATCGCCATCCGCTCACTGCCGCCCTGCGCCGCCAGTGTAAACACTCTCATTGATTATAATGGTTGTGTATTTGCTGCGGAGGTCGGACCAGAGCGGAGCGGAGATGGAACGCAAGCAATGTAAATTAGGGGTTAAGCTTTTATTGTCCTTTGGCCAATATAAACTATCCCTGTAGCTTTGTAATAAAATACCATTGGAAACATAACTACACCAAACCACAGTTTGATTACTGAAAAAACCGAAAAGAAGAACAACATAACCGGTAGCTGCAAAACAAAGATCACCATTAAAGTCTGGACTAACTAGTCTTTCAACAAACAAACATCTACATTCCATTTAATGTGATTTGTCACAAACATGCTTTGTTTGTGCAGCAAAGAAACCAGAATCTTGAGGCGACTGATTAGTTACAGATTGAGTTCTTCAAAACTGTGACTAAGAGACAAAGCAAATTTATCTGTGAAGCTGGAGTGTTTCTGTAAGATCGATCTGCATGATGGTCTGGGGAAAACCCTGAAGAATGTGAACTGAGGGGAGTTATTCTGCTCAGGGTGTGCCCCCAACTCCAGGATAATTAAATACATATGAAGACTGAGCTCAGGCTGCAGACCAACACTCAAAAAAATAAAAAATAAATTAAACTGAGTATTATCTGCCTTTGTTTTTGTCACAGCAAACACAATTTGTTTTTTTAATGAACCAAAAACCACCTAAAAGATGACATGTGTGGTTACTTACAACATGAAGAAGCTTCAGGACATCAACAAACCTACATGAAGGAGAAAATACCGTAAAGTTAAAATGACCATGTTAAGAATTATTTATTTCTTCAGTTTCACATAGTTTTTCAGTTTCATCTTTGTGCTTTTTTTGTTGGGTTGTTAATTTCTCAGGGTACTATTGCACTGTGAACCAAAAATCCACAGGTATTTCTAAAATTAAATGTTGTGTAGTTTTTTTGCTTTTGTTTTGTTTAGTATTTTGCATGTCTCAATACAGAAGTCACATTTTATTTTGAAAAGAACAACAAAAATTACTTACACACTCTCTGAACTCATGATTTCTGTAGCGATGTATTGGATATTGCTTTTCTTTGTTTCACTCTGCATCTAAGAAAGAAGCAACAACAACATACACTGATCATGTGTTAAATGTAAATTCTTATGCATAAGACTGAACTACTGACAGTACATTAAAATATATCCAGAGTCTATCAACCAGTGCACATTATCAATAACAAGCAACAATTTTTCATAGAAAACAAATACAGTAAGATGATTTGAAAAAAAAATCCTGAGGAAGAAAGTAATAGTAATAGTAACAACAACAATAATTTGTAGCAAATAAATGCATGTTAAGGTTAATAACAAATGCTCCTTACCATGCCTTGTTCTGGGTGCTCAGGGTCATTTTTACTCGATACAGAACTGCTGTCATCTTCATCCTCATCCGAGGTGTTGGATGTGTCGTCCCCGGAGAAGGTGTCATTTTGGACGGCCACCTCCTCATCAAATGAATTACTGTTGAGAGAATACATGAATTCACTGAGAACACCCTGTAGACCGATTTGTTCCTGAGAACATTAAATAAAATTATTAAATCTAGAACTGATGGAAGTTTAATGTGCACTTTAGCACCAACTCCGATGAATAAAATTATGTATTTTTGCAAATTGCACTTGGAGATGACGTTTCAAATACAACACTCGCCTCAGCACATTATGTAAAAACAAGCCTGTAGAGAGATGATGTTGAAATGCATGAGACAAGAAAATCCAAGCCGAGGGATTTCTATACATTTATCATTGAAAAGTTTAAGTTTAATGGAGTTTTGAGACTAATTTATATCTGTTATAAGGTTATGAGAGAAAGCCTTTACACAGTTAGAAAAAAGTGGAACATTTAACATAAATGGTAATAAATGTTACTAACACTGGACCAACTGGTCAGGAAAAAGCAATTTGACTATAAATAATACTATTTACCATGACAGTGTAAAATACATCTTTAGCTTTAACTTAAAATGATTTTAAATGAGATAAGACTGTGCCAAAGATGCATCTTGTTTCTATAACATAAAACCCAAAGGTTGTCTGATAGCACAACACCACCCTCCGGAAAGGTCAAAACAGCAAGACGTCTTTTGTACTTTTTCATGTTTACAAATGCTTCTGCATTTAACTGTGACCGTTGCCCGTTTGAGAACTACTTGGTGCATTTTTAATAGTAATTGTATTCATCAGGCGTACAACTTCCCTCCTCCCTTTGCACGTTTTCCAATCACAACACCTCACCTTAACCTTCCATCTTAACTTCATTTATAAACAATTCTCTGTAACTCATGCCTGCTTGTCTCTGTATTTTCACACATTCTGTTATGATGTGTCTAAGGCTGTAAGTGTCCTTGGGTGTCCTGAAAGGCGCTTTTCAAATAAAATTATTATTATTATTATTATTATTACCCCCCCACCCCCCACTCATTGGCTGAAAAAGCACACTCTACAATAGTTTGGGTCAAATCAAAAATAGGATCATTTTAAAGTGGCACTGTGATTTTCATCATTTCCTGTCTGGCATCCCTGGGTTAAAATATTTTTTAAACAACAAACAAAATTAGTCACTTTTCTACATTCCCTACCGACTTGTTCAGTGTGTTTAGTTTTAGGTTTTTTAGGTTTTTTTTAGATGTTTAAAAAAGGACAAAAACTAAAGTGCTTAAACTGAAGTTTAAACAATACAAACAGGACAGCAACAATTTATCGGCCAAAATACAGTCTGTCTGTGGTGTCAGGAAAACTACTCAAAAATACATGTCCAACAAACAGCAGACATTAAACTCAGATGGACAGTGGATCCTAACTTGTTCATTTAAAGCGATCAATAAATCAGTGGTACATAAGTCACATTTTATTTATAAAAGAACAACAGTTGATTGATGGTTGTTTCTTAATGTAGCAAATTCTCATTTAAACAGTTACTGCTCAACAGTTTGGACACACTGTTCCTTTAAAAGGCGTTGATTCAGCGAGCTGTTTGTCTCAGAGTAAACATGCAGAACTACATTGTACAGGTGGAAATCACCTCGTCAAACAAAAGGAACTACACCCAACTCATGCACCTTACAGGCTTTTTCTCTTTTGCTTGTCTAGAAGGTTGTATGTTATGGTAGATGCCTGTAATAATAATTTGTCGTTTCATTTAAACTCTTTGTGTAGGTAACTGAGTCAGTCGCCAATTAATCTGAAAGATAGTGTGAGAATGTGTGTCACCACACTTCCTTAAAAGGGAATCTGCTGCTCTGCGTCATACTCCATTTTTTTTAATTTTTTTTAGATGAACTCTTCTGAGAAGCATGACCTAATTAAACAGTTAAGGTGTAAAATAAGACTTACCCATCGAACTCTCTGGGTGGTGGAATCAGATGTGCGTTTTTCACCAGAGAAAAATACGGCTCCTGATCTTCATAAATGTTCTCAGGGTCGTACACCGGGCTCGGACGGGGCTTTGTGTAGGAAGCCGGTGGAGGAGAAGACTTCAACTTTCCCACAAGCACGTTCTCATAGTCTGAGATCTCCTCATAGAGGAAAACATTGTCATAGACGGGCTCTTCGTGTACGGCAGTATACTCATCTCCGTCAACGCTCTGTTCGATCCCCGTCAGCGGGGAGGAGAATACACCTTTGGCCCCGGAATGTTCAGAGAAGGGTTGATACGTGTCGCGGTTCTTGTCAGTACTTTCTTTGCCATCAATAGCTTTGTGGTACGGATTCGCTTCTCCTTTTTCCACCGTCTTCTTCTTCTTGTAGAGCTTCAAATCCAGGATTTTCCGTATGGTTCCCTTTTGTCCATCGGCACACAAGAAGTCTGTCGAAGAAAAGGACGTTGATTTCTTCTTCGAGCTGGAGCAAGAATGCTTGAAGCTTCCAGTGGTTGGCTCAACCGGAGGTGAAGGCAGCTCCCTTGTCATTATCTCCTTCAGTTTATCGCTGTGTACAGCACTGACTTGTCTCGTCTTAATATTTTGTGATTTATCCCCGTCTTTCTCTTGAACAGATTCATTGAGCTGTATCAGAGACAGTATGCTGTGTCTACGATGCTTCTTTTGAGATGCTTGACCTGTCTCACTCTCTTCTGGTGCAAGAGTCACAACAGGAGTCATAGTCAGTTCTGTCTGACTGAGCACCGTGCCAGAAGGATGGAGAGAAATGTCCTCCAGGTTACCTCTCACGTTCTTCTGCCTTTCCTCATTCGTTTTGTTAGTTGATTCCTGAATTTCACAGGGCTTTGTATTTAAATCTTGCATCCTCGGACACTGCCAATCCTCAGATGGTTCCTGTGTAGAAGAGGTGGGCTCTTGTATAGTGTCAGACGGCAGAGATTTTTTCCTGGGCATAGGGGCTGGCGGAGGACAAGCTTTTCTTGCCGACAGATAAACTGGTCGCCTGTTTTCACCATCGGGTACCTCAACAGGCGGGGATGAGCTGCCCTTTCCGTTCAATGACACGATGCTCATTTCCCTCTTTTCCTGGACGGGGGTCTCCTCCTCCTCCACAGTTTCCTGATGAGACTGAACAGATGCTTTGGGTTTCCGTGGTACAGGGACAGGTGGAGCCTTTACAATAGGTCCTGGGACCAGTTTATTTTGGAGAACATTGGTTTGCTTTGAGCCAAAGTCATCACTCTGTCGTCGTCCTCCAGGTACACCCTGAAGTACTGCATCAGTACAAAAACTCTGTGTTCTGTGAGGAAGCGATGGCTCAGAGGTATTTTCAGGACTGGTGGTCTCAGAGTCTACGCTGACAGTGAATCTCTCCTGGAACTTAGGGTGAACAATAAAACCATTTGTTGAAGCATTATTTGTCACCTGGCACCAAACATTGCCCAGTTTCCCTTGACTGTTATCCTGTTTGCCAAGAGAGAAAGGAACAGTCTTTCCATTGGGTGTTTTAAAGTTTTTCTCCTTCTGCTCAAACTTTGTGCTACTGCTGCATGTGCAGTTCTCCTGCTTACACAGGCAAATAGGAATAATATAATCCCACTTAGTCTTCTTGCTCTGCTCAGTTCCATTTTGTATATTAAGAAGCCCGTTGGTCTGAACGGTCTCTGAATCAGAGTTTTCTCGCAGCCTCTCTGAACTCTGTGATCTTGGTTCCACAGCAGCAGAGGGTTTTAGGCAGGGTTTAGGAGCTACTGGTGGTTTGACCTTCATTGGTAGACCCATGCCAGGAGCCAAGCGTGAGGGGTTATCTGTTCTGGAGCATGAGGAGGAAGACACCATCCCCTGGCTGAGGAGCTGCTTTGGTTTAGGGGCCACCGGTGGCTTGTGTACACCTGTACAGGAGAAAACTGTATATAAAATAAATGAAGGTTCATGAGATTTTGTGTAAAGTAACTAAAAACATGCTAGAAATGTACTTTGCCATCAATGCATGTTTCCATGCGATGATGAAATTTGTGATCTGCATTTGACACATTGCAAGTGAGAAACACCCAAGTGGAGCAGTGGGCAGCTATGTGAGAGCCTGGGGGGCAGTTGGGGTTGGGTGACTTGCTGAAGGATGCCACGGCATGTGGGCATGGCGGGGAGTCAAGCCTGTGACTTTCTGGTCCCAAGCCGCTGCTCTACCACTACACCACAGCCCCCCCCCCACCTCCCCCACGCCCATCATTGAAAGCATCAGATCTCAGAAAGGAAATAGAAGTAGACAGATAAATGTAAAAATATAGTATGAACAATAATGAGTTGATCTTCAAGACATTCTCATTTGTTGAGTTTCTCAAAGATCCATTTTGGGTCTCTTTAGAAAACATCGCCTTTGTCAACAATACTCAGTCTTGTATTAAGCTGCACAAACAGTGTTTTAACACATCCTCTTATAAACACTGAGAAGTATTATGTGAATGACTGATTAAATGTGAAATAAATAAAGAAATACTATTAAAAGTAAGAGTGTTCAATTCACTGTTGAGACGAGTATTGCCATCTTTCACCTTTTAAATGTTTTTATTTTGTTGCATTGAATTATAAATTTAAAGTTTACCTCATATAATAACTATTTTCATATTAAATTTTTAAAGATAATTCATTTTTATTGCTCTTGGCAGGTCAGACAGAAGTCACCCACAGGCCTTGAATTCGACACGTGACATAGGCCATTTTCTTAAAGGGGTATAATCAAATGATTTGACCACCTGAGGGTGTAGGCAGTTTTACCACAGGTGGCATCATGAGGTGAAAATGAAAAAATGGTTGAAATATGACATTATTTATTTAGGCTATTAAACACTTTACATGTGAACTGAAATTTTTGACAGTTCATTAAAGTAAGAAATTTGTGTTTGGTAGATTATTTAATTGTAACAATGCTTTGAGGCAATAAATCTTATACCAGGCACCTGACTGGTAGCATCTGTGGGTAGCAGAAGCTCAAAACAAGAGTCAATAACAACAACAAAATAAGCTGTTGAGCAGAGAAAACTTGGCTAGTTGTTCATGTGGTCAACCCACATACTTCGCTCTACTGCTCATCCCACAAATGCATATTCCTTAAAAATGTGGCACCTTTTAAAAGTTAAAGTAACCGACTTTTTAACAGTATGAGATTTATTGCCAAGAAGCATTGTTACAAGAAAGAAATAATCTATTAAACAAAAATTTTATAAAAAAAAACTCAACAAAAGCAACATGTAGTGGTGCTTTTGCTTTTTGCAACATTCAGTCAGTTTGAATTTATTCTATGAAACTCTACAACTAAAATTTAAGCCTGTTTTAATTAAAATCATAAACAGTGCTTTAGATAGGAAACTGGTATGAAGGCATTCTAAACTATGTTTTTGTTGTGTTGTTTTAATATATAAAACAGATTTAAAAATAGTAAAAATGTGTAGGGCCTAAATGATTTGCCCAAGGGCCTCTTCTGGCCCACAGACCATATGTTTACCAAGCGTTCTTTTTTCTTTAACTTTTAATTCAAATCAAACCCAAGACTTTAATAAATTTAAAGTTAGTATTTCTTTGTAGAATTCATTCATTCATTTAGTTTATTATATAAATGGCACTACATATAGAATACAGTAACATTAACATAAATGGATAACACAATAAAGCATAAAGCTTATTTCCATTGTGGTCCAACATATGCAGTTTTCTGAAAACTGGCTCGTTTTGGTCGATTAATAGTTAGCTTTCATGCACTAAAACCTGATGTTAAACTGCTTATTCCTGGGATTTAAATATCACATGGCTTTTGTTTGCCACTTCAGGTAGCAGCACAGAAATCTGATTAATGCTGGTTCATGTTAACAAGCAGGGGGAAGAGGAGCAAATCACAGCAGAGTTGGAGGCAAGCAAAAAGTGTTTATGAATAACATACAAACTGGTACATCTGGATGAACTACTGTCCTTAAAACTTTATGGAGGGCAAAACACTAACCCTGCTGACAGAAAAGGATGTTGGTTTAAATATTTCCCTGTTCAACCAGACCACAGTCTGAACAGCTGACAGTGAATAAATCCTTTCATGGTTACAGAAAAACCTGAACACTATGTGGAAGTGACAGAGCTTATCTGGTTTGTTGCTTTTAGTCCTTTTGGATTAGAAGAAAATGTTGTTTTTCTTGCCCTGCATTGTATTTTTCCATATTGGCAACAAACACTTCTTCTGACTTCTTTAGTGTTTAACTGTCCTGATTTTGTTACAAATATAATAAATGACACTAGAGGTAGTTGATATTTCCAGACTATTCTGCTAACTGCGTTCACAAACAAATAATTTTCAACAGACAGAAGTCACCTTACCTGCTGAGCTCATCCTGGCTTTGTTTTTAAAAAGCACTAAAGCAGAAAAGCAGCCTTCATCATGTCCGGACACACGGCTCAGTCCACCCACAGCCTAGGGTAAAAAATAAAATAAAATTAAAAAATATTTACATTTTCTTTATTCCTGTAGGATTAGCTGCGAGCCACGTCGTTTCTGCCACGGAGTGACTGTGAGTGGAGCCACACCAGCTGTTCTTACCTGCCGTCATCAAACTTCCCTCTGTTGTTCTTCAAATGTCCACTAGAGGTCCTCAGAGAGCGCACACTCCCAGACGCAACAACAAAAAGTAGGTAAAAGTTAAACCTTAGAACTGTCATGTCACAGGAAACAAAGTGAGCTAAGATACTACAATCAAAGATAAGAATTTCCTTTCAATAAAGTTTTCATCTTCATTTATGACTTTACAGGAAAATGCCAGAGCTACACAAATAACATATCTTTCCACTTCATGTCTAATATTAACAACCAGGGTGAGTAAGGTGCCACAATAATGAGAAGAGCTCTTTTGTGTAACGTGATATAGAGGAAGAGGAAGTGAGTCTTTGAAAATAAAAAAATAATAAAACTTCCTTTAAAATCAGGATTTTCATCATGCTTTTCTTATGTCAGCAGACTGATCAGCTGTCAGTGATGGGAAATATGAAAGATTGGGACTGAAAAGAAAACAAGAGGTGACCAGTGTGAAGAGTAACAAAAGGCTAAATTAAATTAGCAAAAAGCCAGCTTAGAGATAAAAGTAGCAACATTTAATCAAAGATAAAAAGTAGCAAAACAGTTTAAATTGCAAAAACATTTGCTATAGGTTGCAATACAATACACACACTAACTAAAAGTAGAAAAACACTAGCTAAAAATGGTTAAAAAGTTAAAAGTTGCAAAATTTTATCGAAACTTTAAAATAGCTAAATGGTAAATAGAAAAGCCTAAGACAAGCTAAAATTTAAAAGTAGGCTACTGAAACAAAATTAAAATTAGCTAAATGCTAATTTAAAGCAGCAAAAAAGAGCTTAGGGCTAAAAGTAGCTGAGATGAATAGTAGCAAAACACTAAAAGAAGTGAAACCGTAGCTGAAAGGTAAAAATTATTATTATTATTGT